ACAGCAGGCGACGCCGGGCGGGCGGCTCATCCCATGGGGCAGGAACCCGGGCTTTAGTGCGGTGTGCCCGCAGCCCGCAGCCCTGCCGCTAAGCTCCGTTTTACTGGGAGGCCCTCGCGGCCAGGTTCAGCCAGCGGGGCTGGGGCAGAGTGGAGGCTGTGGGGATGGAGACCTGGACCAGGGTGGCAGGGAGTGGAGGAGAGGCTGATCAGGAAGAGTGGGGTGCCCAATGACCACAGTGCCCGAGACCTGGCCTGGCCCCAGGACACAGGAGTGGGTGGGGGTAGACCTAGGACTGATGGTGACACTGTCCTAGCATTGGCACTGCCCGCCCTCTCCTGGCCACAGGACACAGTGCAGGAGGGTCAGAGCAATGCCCACCAGGGAGGGTGGAGGCTCTGTTCTTGTTCAAAACCCACAACCCCCCCTAAAAACACAAAATCAGAATCATATGCCAAGTCCGTTTAAGAGTAGTGAGTGTTCAAAATACATGGACAGGCAGATGGACACAGGGCAAGAGAGCCTTCCCATGGTGTTGGCAGCCCTGATAGGCCACTGTGGGCCTAAAGATGGGAATGGCCTGGGCCTGGAGCCTGGCATTCAGCCCTGCTGCTACAGGGGGTTGGTCAGAGGGGGCCCTGGGGCTGCAGTCCTCCTGCCAGGCAGTGCCTGGTCTCCAAGCCTCTGACTGCTGGGGGGGTCTTGCTGGATGGCCGGACACTAGCCTCACCTGCCGCACTCTTCTTGGGGATGGTGGGTCTGGCCCAGGTCCATCTCTAAGAGCCCACCTAGTTTCCTGGATGTCCTAGCTGATAGTGACCTCCAGATAATACCCACACCCCTGACCAAGGTGGCTGGGGTGGAGCTCAGCCAGGAGGACCCTTGAGAGAGCAGGTCTAGCAGCTCCTGCTGCACCCACCACCAGCAGCAGAGGGCAGTGTGGCTCCAGGGATGCCAGCAGAGGTGTCCCTGGTTTGGGAGGCTTGCCAGAACTTGAGGGCTGAGCTGGGCAGGGGTCAAGAGCTCTTTCCTGCTGATGCCCCCATCTTAGGACACTGGCCCTGGAAATGCCTCTCCAGATGTGGAGACACACATCTCCCTTCCAGGGCCGCAGGTGGATGGCCCACCTGCCTCACCTGTGCATCAGCTCTGCAGCCGGCCAGCTCCTCCCCTGACCTGGATGTGCCATGGCAGCTGGGGTGAGGGGTAGGCCAGACCAGATGGGCAGTGAGGAGTGTCCCACTCTCAGGAGTGTCCAGTGGGTGGGGCTAGCCATAGGGACAGGATATGAGGGGGAGGGTGGGCAGAGAAGACAGGTCACCAGGATGCTCTCCAAGATGGGCCAGGGCTACCTGATAAATCCTGGGGCTGGGCTTGTTGGGCCAGCTCCCAAAAGGCAGGTGGGGGATGGATGGCTACAGGCCGGCAAGCCCAGTCCTACAGGAGGGCTGCCCCCGCTGCCTAGTAAGCCACAGGTCTGAGCCAGCTGTGCCCAGGGAGGGGCCATTGTGCCGCGGGTGGGTGTCTGCCCCTCTCCTCCACCCCAGCCTCTTGCTGTGTCCCCCACGCCCCCAGGCTCCACCTCTGTCCTTCATTCTCAGCCCCTCTGGTGACAGCAAGGAGGGTAAGGGAGGGCTCTGCGGAGACCTCTGCTCTACAGCCACTGTGACCAGCGTCTGCTCCCAGCCGTCAGGAAAGCCCAGCATCATCTGAATTCATCCCCCACTGGCCTGTGAGGCGAGCCCCGACCCTGGGGGCTGGGAGGAGCCAGGGCACCAACTCTGCTGGATTTCACCTGCTGAAGATGCACTTGGGGCCACGGGTGGCCACTCTTCTCTTGTGCCCGTGGTGTTTAAGAGCTTTTATAACAGGACCCTTGCCCCATGTCAGCTGCTTCCCTCTTCAGTGCACAGCTCCGTGCACAGCGGAGGTGCCCTGGAGCTTGCCTGCCCACTAGGAACAACCTGCTCCCAGCTGGTGCCAGCTCTGGCCTCTGGAGCTTGTGGGCCCTGCTCTGCCCACCAGGGTGCTGGGCCCCAGGGCAGCCGGCCCGGGAAGGTGGATTTGGGGACCCTAAGTGTCAGGTCTGTGGAGTGTCAGGCCTGTGTCTGCACATAAAGGTGTGTGTGCCCTGTCTGTGTGACTGTCCCGCTGGGCCCGGGTGTCCAGTACTTCTGAGAAAGGCCTTGTCGGAGGAGCAGGAACACACAGGACGTCGTGGACACTGATCTGGCACTTACTACCACTGCTCTCACAGGTCCAGGAGGGCCTTGCAGAGGAATGAGACTGAGGTGGGCACTGCCAAAGGGGCAGTGTGCAGACAGGCCCAAGGTGAACGAGGGGTCACTGCCTGGTGCCTGGGGCCCAGGCTGCCGGCCATGCTGAGAGGCTGCATCACATGCTAGAGAGATGGCGGGGGCACCAGCACCAGGGTGGGAGGCCACACCAGGAGCAGCCTGCCCCTCAGCTATGTCCCAAAGCCACTGTCAGCCCTGTAGGGATTCAGGGCAGCAAGCGGTCAGCTCGCCTAGGGTACCCGGGCCTGGCCAGTGGAGCTGCTAGTTGAGGCAGGGGATAGTCCTTCCTCCTGAGACCCCTGGGCAGGACTCAGTCCTGACCACCTGAAGGCTCCAACAGGTGGTCCTCAGCACTCCTGCCTGCTCCCGCCTCATGTCTGGCTCTCCTCCTCCTGTGCCGGATGCCACTCCCTCCCAGGACACCTGACCCCTGCCCCAGCCCCCATGAGGGTGCTGCCTTGGCTCGGTTTCCCTGTTCGCAGAAGGCCACCTGTTCCCAGTCTCAGCCAAGGTGAGGGGCCCTGGCCCCACCCTAGCCCTTCTCTTCCAGGCCCTGCGACAGACAGGGTCTGTCACTCACTGACTCATCTCAGCCGTCTCATCTGCAAAACACACCAAGGCCATTCCCCATGGAGGTGTGAGGCCCCCACAGGAGGTACTGCAGGGTGTCCGTTAGGTCTGTGCAGAACACAAGGAACCCACTGCTCACCGTGGCAGGGCCCCGAGCTCGGGGGGCATGCGTGGCCCAGGGAACCCTCGCCCTTTGTGGACGCAGCCTGCCCTGCCAGTGTGAGGAGGGCCCTGCACTACCTGTGGCTGTCCATCAGTGCTCCTGGGCTTACCAGCCGCTGTGTCGGGGACAGAGCGGGAGGGGCTCTGTGGCTGGCTGGGGCCTTCCGAGGGACCGAGGCAGTGTGAGGACCCCTCTTCAAACCCCCGATCTCGCAATCAAGTCAGAGAGGTTTCAGACTCGTCACTCGGAGTAACAGCAATGGGCTTACTGAAAGGATAGAAAAGGGGAAGGGGACACTCTCAAGGGAGAGAGGGGTCCCCTCAGAAAGGAGAGGGGACAGCGTGCCTCTCCTGCCCTCCAGTTTTACTGGGGATCCCAGACATTTCCAGAGTCCCACCAGGGTCCACCTCTTGACTTTTGACTGACTGATGAGCCTTCTAAGCCCCACTGCCATGACCCCTCTAGGTCCCCTTGGCCATGCCGACTGTCCTAACCGGAGTCGTGACCCTACGGGCTTGGATTTCGTGGCTAGGAGGAGCTACCCTATCTCCCAGAGGTTCAGGATCTGCTCACAGAAGTCTCCCCTCAGGTAACTTGGGCTCCTCCCGTGGACATGACCCTAGGCCTGCGTTTCTCCTGCAGGGAACAGGTAGTCTGCTGAAGACTGTGACTCGTCCTGTCCACTGAGGCCAGGCAGGGCTGCAGGTCAGCTGCTTCTTGGAAAAGACGTGGGGTCGCCCCAGTGTTTATGGACCTTTTCTCCCACCCCTCCTGTGTCCCCAACGCCATGAGGAGCTGAGTGTAAGCGTGGCCGTCTGGTGCTGGCCTCCTTGGCCAGTTGTCACCGTGCCATGCTGTGGCTCCTGTGGCGATAGCGTGATTGCTCCAACCCGTGGGATGAGGCTGCTCTGACCTGCCCCATGGCTGGTGAGGGGTCACTGGCCCAGAGCCCACCCAGGCCAGTGTCCAGGGCAGGATGAGGTCATCTGCTCTGGCTGGGAAGGTTCTAGAAGGGGCACCCAAGGACCATGATGACGAAGGTGACAGGGAGCGCTTCTCAGCCCAGCCAGGGACGCAGGGCCCAGGAAGGAGACAGGGCCCAGCAGAGGTCAGCCTGAGGGTGGGGGAGAGAGCAGACCAGGAGGGAGGGGTGGACGTGCACACCAGGGTCTGTGCAGGACTCTGCAAGGCCACCCAGCTGTGGCGGGGCCACCTGAGGTCTGCACGGTGGCCCCAGGACGGCTTCCCAACACACTGGGCCGCCGTCTCCAGAACCTGTTAGGGCCCAGGACACTGCGCTCCAGGGCTGGCTGCCCAGCCTCCTGCCCACCTGTGGCTTCCTAGGAGCTGTGCCCAGCTAGCCCCCTACCTGGAATGGTCCTGCTCCCTGGTGCTGGCCAGAAGCCAGGGCAGCAGGTGGAAACCTCAACCCCAGGCGGCCTGTGGGACTCGGGTCTGAGAGGTAGGAGGTCTGGGCTGGACACGTCTGTAACACGTCCACTCTGGGGAGGAGGGTCCAGATGATGCCGGCCCAAGTGGGTTGATGCTCCCAGGTCCCAACCAGGACTCAGGGGGTGCAGGGCTCCTGGCTCCTGGTGGCCTGTGCAAGGCTCCGACCCAAGGAAGCTCTGTGTCCCTGTGCAGAGGCACTGGGTCTGATACCTGGCCCACAGGCCACCCTGAGCTGCTGGCGCCTGTCCCTGCTCCCAGGAGGCAGCAGTACAGTCTCCTCAGGTGGCCTGAAGCCCACCTGCAGGTGCTAATGAGGGAGGGGAAGGACAGGGTGGCCCCACAGTCTGCATGGGGCCCTGGGCACAGGAGGCGCTGTGGCCTGGCTCCAAGTCCTGCTGCTGCCCCCAGCCACTGTCCAGGGCCCACTCCTCCAGCAGCTCCCCAAATGCCCTGGGTCTCTGGCTGGGTCAGAGCCACTTCCCTTTTAAAAAATATTTTTTAGTTGTAGATGGACACAATACCCTTATTTTCCTATTTATTTTTCACATGGTGCTGAGGATGGAACCCAGTGCCTCTCACATGACAGGCAAGTGCTCTGCCACCGAGCCCAGCCCAGCCCGAGCCGCTTCCTGTGACCATGTAAACTCCAGCCTGCTCCTGGTGCTACTCCATGGCAGTAGGCTGCCCGCCGACGGCCAGGGTGGGCAGGGGCACTGACCCTCTGCCAGCAGCCCCAGGTTGGGAGAGCAGGTGTGGCGGGGGTGAGCACCTCTAGCCAGTGGGTGCTGTGCCGCTGCGTGGCGCTCAGTCGCGCTATCCTAGCAGGAGGGTCTGCGTCTCAGCGCGGGGTGACCACGTGCTCCCTTGGGGCCTGTGCAGGGGCCCGAGCGAGGCCAGGGCAGGGGAGAGCCTCGTGGCTGAGGGGCTGTGTGACACATACTGTGGACGCAGCAGGGACTGCAGGGGCACTCCCAGGGACCTGAGCCTCCTCATTGGACAGTGAATTCGGTGATGGGGGAGGACCCCACACCCTTAAGCCGCCTCCCCAGCAGAGGCATTTCCTCAGCTGCTAAGAAGGTCCACACAGGCCTCCGGGGGACATTCCCCTGGGAGGGCAGGCGGCTCCCGAGGGGCAGCAGAGCATGGGGTCCAGGCCACGGGGAGCGGGAGGCCACGGGGAGCGGGAGCCAGTGTGGTGGGTGCGAGCAGGGCCTGCGCCAGGAGCCCCAGGGCTCAGAGCTGCCCATGGGGACGGGCACGCGGAGAGGTGGGCTGGGAAGGAGAAGTGATGGAGGAGACAGCGGGGGCCAGGGAGGCTGAGCTGGCCAAGCAGGAGCAGCGTCATCGGAATGGCCGCTTGTGGCCTCAGGAATGCATTTTCCTCCTGGCACACAGCAGGCCCCACGGTGGCAGGAGTTGCAGGGTCGGAGTGCTGTCCCAGAGCTGCGCGCGGCTGCCCGGGGCCCAGGGCACGCAGGCTCCACCCGGAGGCACTGGGCGGCTGGGGGCTCTGGGGAGGCGCTGGGTGCAGGTGGTGACACAGCTCAGGCGGGTGTTCATCTCACGTCACCTCTTCTCCTAGGGCACCTCGGGACCCTCCTGGGACCTGCCCTGGAGAGGGCCAGCAGCCCGGCGGTGGGGGGGGGGGCGGGCTAGGACTGCGAGGCTGCACCTTGGACAAGGACACAGAGGACTGGGGAGCCTGGGATGGCCGTGGGCGTGGGCCACCTCTTGTCCTCCAGCTCCCACCGCTGCCTCCTCTGCTCACGACGGGTAGAACTGCCCGACCAGGTCCTTCTTGTTGACCTTGCCCATCTGGTTCCGTGGGATCTCCTCCACCAGCAGGAGCTCCGAGGGGATGGCGTAGGGGGCCAGCACGCCTCTGCAGGACAAGTGCAGCTGAGGCCCCTGCACGGCCCCACCTGGCACACGGGACATCCCCATGGCTGGGACTCAGCAGCATGGACCCGACCTGGGCCCCAGCCTGGTCAGGGCCTGTGACCATACCCCATCTCTTCCCCAGGAGCTTGGGAGTGGCTGAACACAGGAAGGGGCCAGTGTCCAACTGTCACTCACACCACAAAGACCACGGCACATTCACGGCTTCCCGGACAAGGTCACACCCTGGGGATGGGCCTGTCCAGAGCAACCACAGTGAGAGGCGGAGGTGCCTACTGGGGGCCCACCTGGGAGCTGGGAAGAGCTGCCCCTGGGGGGCCTGTTCCCCCGCACAGCTGTGCCACAAGGAGGTCTGAGAGCCTGAGGGGGCAGTGGGCAGAGGGGGCTGCCGGCCCTGCAGGCCATGTGGAGACCTGAGCAGACACCAGGAAGCCTGGCAGGCTGGGCAGGACATGCAGACCTTCAAGACCAGGGGACCCTTGAGGCCAGGAGACCTGAGGCCAACAGAGCACTAGGCCAGCAAACCACTGAGACCAGGAACCCAAGAGACCAGCAGGCCACTGAGACCAGGAGGCCACTGAGACCAGGAGGCCACTGAGACCAGGAGGCCATTGAGACCAGTAGACCACCAAGATCAGCAGGCTACCAAGACCAGGAGACCAACAGATTAGCAGACCACTGAGACCAGGAGACCACTGAGGCCCGCAGACCCTGAGGCCCAACCATGTGGCCCACCTTGTCACTGAAGTGTGCTGTCTACATTCAACAGTGTTTGGGTGAGTCATGTTCGCGACTTTCTCTGTGCCCATAAGTGACCTGTCCAGGCAGCCCTTCCACATCCCCATGGTGCTGGGCCAGGACCCTAGCGGCAGGCAGACCTGTGAGTCATGAGGGGGACTCGTCCCCAGGCTGGCCTGCCCCCCGCAGCTGCTCCAGCTCCAGGGGACGGCTCCTGGCCATCAGGGGACAGGGTCTGCAGTACCAGGAGTTCTGGACCCCCACAGGGCTCTGCGCGGCTGCACTTGGCAGTGTGCCCGGGCCTCTGCACCAGTCCCCTGTCTCGGGTCTCCTCACAGGCACCGTTGTGAGCCCAAGGGCCAACAGGGGCCCTGCGGGTGCTGGGCAGGAGCTGACCAGAACCAGAGACAAGCGCTCAGAAGCAGAGGCTGGTGAGCCCTCCAGGGGTGCTCCTGCGGCTCTCAGCGCAGGGCACCGCTGCTCATCACAGCCGAAGCCACCCGCCTGTGTTCCCGCGTGCTGCCCTCGGGGACGCCAACTGCCCCGACGCAGCACAGGCTCCCGCTGCTGGAGACTGTTCTGGACGAGCCGGAGCCACCTCAGCCGGAGGAGGAGGGGACGGGCTGGGCAGAGTGCGAGAGTGGGAGGCCCTGGTCTGGGAGGGCTGGGATACAGCTGGGTCGCAGCTGCAGCCGTCTGCTGGCCCCTTGAGGCTCCGCCCTGAAGGTCCTAGAGGGTCCCCATCATCCTGCCTGGCCTTGAAGGACAGCTCAGCCTAGTCTGGGCGGGACCACCTGTGGTCACCTTGGCCACCAGGCCCGGGTGGTCCCTGGGGATGCCTGAACCCACCGGGGCCAACGCGGGAGGAGAGTGGCCCGTGGGGAGCATGGGCAGGGCCCAGGGGAGGCTCTGCTGCAGGCCAGCAAGGGGCCAGCATGGCACGAGCAGCTGGGCCACCCTGAGGATGGGAAGGGGAAGGGGTGGGGGCTCAGGACACGGGGCCTGGCTCCGCAGGTCTAGAAGGGGAGGGCCTGCTGCCCATCTGAGACTGACCCTGGAGCAGGGACGGCCCAGGGCCCAGGACGTGCCCTCTGCCCCATCCTGTCAGGGCAGGGGTGTCCTCTCTCCAGGTCTGCACTCAGAGACAGCACCGCCCACAGGCCTCACTGCTGGCCTGGCTGCTCCTCTTGTCCACCTCTAAAAGGGACAGTGCCAAGACCAGGCCACCTCCTCATTGCCCAGGATGGTCCACCCTGTCATTACACATCCCAGGACAGTCCACTCTGCCCCTCAGTCCCCAGGACACTCCATCCTGGGCCCCTGCCCTACCTCGCCCACTCCTTGAGGTCCCTGAGGGACAATGAGTGTCCTTCTCGAAGAGTCACCACAGCTGTGACCCGCTGGCCCCATGTCACATCTGGAATCCCAATCACGGCCACATCTAGAACAGAAGGTCAGGCTGGGACACCTGGGAAGTCCCCAGTGACCGCGCGGGTCAAGCAGCAGTAGGGCCTCGCAGAGAAGGTGGACAGCAGCCCAGCCACGTCCAGGCTCTGGAAAGCCCTACTGGCTCCCCTCGGGTGTGAGGATGGCTCCCCGTGGTGTCTCCGGGGTCTGCCTCCCCATACTGTCCTGCAGACCGGGTGTGCGCCTCGTCACCTGGAAGCCAAACTGGGGTTCGGGGGGCAGTAGCTCAGGCCGGGCCCCAGCTGCCACGAGCAGGGAAAGGTCCCGAGCAGCTGGCAAGTGCTCACCTGCGATGCTGGGGTGGGCCAGCAGGTGCCGCTCCACCTCCAGGGCGCTGACTTTGTAGCCTCCGGTCTTGATGATGTCCACTGAGGTCCGGCCTCGGATCCAGTACTTGCCATCCTTGAACACAGCAGTGTCCCCTGAAAAAGTGGGCTCTGTGACATCCCCAGGGCAACCTGGGTGCGCCTAGTCCCCAGCAGAAAACCCTGGGGCGCCTGTGGTCACCTTGGCCACCAGCCCCTGGCACCCATCACTCACATCTCTCCACTGTCCTGCCCTGTGCCTGGGGGACCGGGACATGGCCTCCACAGGGTCAAGCCAGTGCCCACAACATGCCTGGAGCCAGTGGGATCAGGCCTGTGACACCCTGCGCTGCAGGCTGCACGTGGGCCTGTCCCTGCCACTGCCATCAGTGGTGACTGGCCACTGTTAGTGAGGGGCCTTTCTGCACAGGGCAGCACACCAGCTGGGCAGCTGACCCTGAGCAGGAGGCGTGAGGGACAGCCCTGACACTGACCCAGCCTTGTGCAGACAGACGAGAGCTGTGGAGCCGGCAGAGCCTGGCTAACCCACGTCGCCCTTCTGGCCTGTTGTGGGCCCCTGAGGACATCCCCGCCTGGGCTGGGCGTGAACAGGCACATCCCAGACCTGCAGGGTCACTGCCACGCTTCCCTGATGAGAGGGGTCCTCCTGCCCTCGCCCCTGACCTCTGCCACCTGAAACAGCCAGCCACTCACTTGTTCCTCCCCAGGATCCCATGACCACTGAGATCTGGATGCTCAGCCACAGGGCAGCGGGCGGGTGCAGGGCCAGTGGAAGGCTGCGCCCTGCCCAGGCGGCTTCCTGGGTCGGGGACGCTGCGTTTCTGCAGATGCATGTTGCCCCCAGTCTGCACAGGCTCCCCTCCCCGGGGCCATGAATGTCTCACAGCACGTCACTGCTGACCCCCGGTACCATCCACCTCCTGCCAAGTTTGTGACCTGCAGCTTGGGGCGTGCTCCCATCTACCAAGCAAGATGGACAGGTGCCAGAGGGGCTCCAGGCTTGTTCATGGAGGAGGTGGGCCTGGAGGCCTCCAGTGCAGTGGCTCTGCACTGAGGGAGACATAGGAGCTGTGGGTGGCCTCCCGCTTGTCCCGGGACAGCCTGCCTGTGGGCACTGGCCAGCAGGACAGGACGCGGGGTGGGCTGACGGGATGGTGGACACACCCTGTCCTGGCTTGTTCCTGCCTCCAGCTCCACTGTAGCCTGGCTTCAGCCATGTCCCCAGGACCAGGCGGCCTCCCTGGTGACTGAACCCAAGGGTGCTCTGCCACCAGGCCACACCCGCCCCTTTTCTTTTTTGGGGCGTTACTGGGGATTCAACCCGGGGGCAATCTGCCACTGAGCTACATCTCCAGCCCTTCTTATTTTTTCTGAGACGAGGCCGTGTTCAGTTGTCGAGGATGGCCTTGAATTTGCGATGCTCCTGCCTCAGCCGTGGCCACTCGCTGGTCGATGGCTTCCCTGAGCACATCACTGCCCCAGTGCTGGCTCTCCTGCCCCAGGGCTGCATGCTCAGCTGCTCACTGTCCAAGGGAGGTGCTGCCTGGCACTGGGGTCCCTGCAGGTGTCTGACCCGGCTCCCCTGGGCCTCTAGGCACCCAGATGCCAGTGTGGGGGCTGCGCGGGGGAGCCATTGTCCTGCCCTGGACTTGGCCTCCCCAGATGTTCCTGCCTGCCCCGAGGCCCCTCCTACACCCTCCCCGTGAGGTCCTGACTCTCCTGGTGTCCTCTGTTGGGACGGCCTGGCCCCAGCTGAGCCCTGGGGGTAAAGACAGTCTGGCACACACAGGCTGTGAGGGGCTCTGGGCGGCACCAGCTATTGGTGGGCACACGCCTTCCCTCTGCCCTCTGGGGGTGCCCCACACTGCCAGCGCCTGAGATTCCGCCTCTCACTTCTGAGACCAGGCACGCGGAGGTTTGGGGATGGGCAGGTGGATATCCCCAGGGAGGAAATGCCTTGGAATCAGGGAGGGGAGGCCCTGTGTGGGTAAGGACCAGGACAACACTCACACAGAGGGACAGCGGGGGCGGCAGCACAGGACAGGGATGAGGGCGGGCGCAGGTGACGTAATAAAGGAATTGGGGACGCTCAGGAGCAAGGAGTCAGGCATCAGCCTCAAAGGCTCCGAAAACCCAGAATTCAGAAGCTGAGGGAGAAGGCAGCCTGATGGCAGGGCTGAGCCTGTGGGTTTTCCTGGACCTGCCCTGCAGCGCTGGCCAGGAGCCAGAGGAGGGCCATGCGGGCCAGATGCAGCCTGGCATTCATGCAGCCTGGACACTGCGGTGCTACCGAGCAGGGCCCTGGGACGCGCACTGTGCGACGTGCGGCCAGGCCAGGCCAGGCCAGGAGTGGGGTGGCAGCTCTGCCTGGAGCTGGGGAGCAGCAGGAAGCCCAGTGACTGGGTTAGACCCTCTACTGACCTCTCAGGCACCTGCGAGGTCTTCTGCCCTGCCATGGGTCATGCTGGGCCTTCTGCAGACCTGTCCCCAGTGTGTACGCCCTGAGGTCACAGGGTCACAGCTTCCCATGGCTGGCAAGACACTATGTGTAACCTGCCCCATGCCTCTAGCTGCCCAAGCATGTGCCTGGCCTCCACTGACCCTCCACTGACCCCGGCTGGAGACTCAGCTATCCTCTGTGGCTGGTGACCTGCCCTGGTGACCATGCAGGGCAAGCAAGTGCTGGACTCTAACCACGGCTCAGGCTGGCAACCCTCTGCAACCCTCACCCACACGGCTGCAGCCTCAGGTGACAGCTGGACTTCCCAGTTCTGCTGAACGGCCAGGTCACTGTGGGGTCAGATGTGGAGCTGGGGCCTGGCCTGGGTCTCCTGAGTAGGGCTCAGGCTTTCTGGAGCAATTCCTTGGCTGTGGGCAGGGGCAGGGTCTCAGAAGAGGTGGCTGCTGGGCTCTTTCCAGGCTACCTGCCCCCGGCTTCCCAGTGCTGAGGTGTCCGCACCGAGTGCAGCAAAGGTGCGCATGCAAGGGTCAGGGCTTGGGGACGGGGTGGCCTGCAGTGACAGGTAGCACACATCTCTGCCGTGGTCAGAGGGTGCTTGGGCTGGAGGTGTGGCCTGGACCTGTGCTGGTGCCCATACCTGGGCCCTCTGCTCTTGCGTGACAGCTCTGTGGGGTGGCACGCCCCCTGGAAGGGCGCAGCAGCTGCTTACATAGCCAGACAGGTGCAGGACCAGGCTTCCTGTTGCCCACTGAAGAAACCCCATGTCCTCTGGGCCAGCAGGCCGGGGCTCCACCTGGGTCCATGCTGCCCACAGAGGTCACGCTCCTTTCTGCCCAGCACACGTGGAGCCTTGGCCCAGATGCCCGCTCCTGTGGCCCTGGCTGGGTCTCGGGAAGCCTGGGGCCACCGTCTGTCTGCATGGACTCCCCTGTGGTCTCCTCCCAGCCCGAGCTTCTCCGGGGGAACTTCCCATGCAGAGCCCCCACCTGCTGACAGGACAGGTGCCAAGCAGAATCTCACTCCCAGCCCAGGTCTTGGTGGGTCCAATGGTGCTGGCCATGACCTCCACAGGTCTGCACTCACCATGGCTCTGGGCAAGAGCACAGGGTGAAGGTCCACAGCACAGCTGCAGACTGACACAGGCCAGGGCAGCAGTGGCCTAGCAGCCAGCCACACGCTGCAGGGTGAAAACGCAGGGGGACCTGCACGTGGTGCCCACAAGCCTCCATGTGCCGCCACTCAGCTCGGTGCTGGGGGTCAGGGCTGCTCTCTGCAAGAGCAGACGCCCCCATCCTCTCCCTGAGCAGGCCCTGCCCCACCACCCCTCACGCACCCCTGTAACTATGCTGGGACCTGGGACACTCCCTGTCCACTCCCTACCCTGGCTGGCTACACAGGAGAGGATTCATGGTTTTAAGATCCCGCCCACCCTGCTGCAGCGACACTGGCAGGGACGCTCTCTCCTGAGCCCAGGTCACTCTTGAATGAGCCCCAGAACGAGCTGCCATTTGCCCACGGCACCAGCCAGGCAGAAGCCTCTACAGGCTCCCGGCTCCTGGGCTCACCCTGCCTGGCGACAGGTAAGCGTCGGGTCCTCTGAACAGCCTGGGGGGAGTGAGTCTGGAGAAGCTCGGGGACTTGTCCCAGGGACCCTTCTGTTCCTGACTGCACAGATGTGGAGACCGCGGGGGGGGTTCCGGGAAGCTCCTTGCTCATTCCCAGGGCAGAGATGTCCCGGCGGGCCCACGGAGGCCACCGAGGAGCTGGCAGACTGGGCCCTTCCCAAGCACCGGGACAGCAGGAGGGGCTGGCCAGGGAAAGGGTCAAGTCTAACCTACCCTGATTTCCACTCGGTCGGTATCAGCTCCCTGCAGGAGCGCAGCTGCAGCTGACTGAGGCTCTCGTTATGCAGGCTGCGTCACTAACGGCCTGTGACAAAGGCGTGCACCCCCAGGCCTCACCCCCAGAGCCAGTGGCCCCTGCGCTCCCTTGCTGTCTGGTGTACCCCAAGTGAAACCGAGCTGAGCGTGAGGTCACCTTCTCCAGGACACCGCTCCAACGGCCAACCTGTGCTGCTCCTCTCATGCCGCCAGGGCACTGGCCTCCTCTCAGCCAGACGCCCCACACGTCACCCAGAGGCGCTGGGCCCTCCTCTCAGCTGGACACCCTGTGCATGTCACCCAGAGGTGACACGGGTGTCCCGACCTTGGCAAAACCTACACTGTTGGGTTCCTATGCTTTTAAGTGGGGAGAAAAGAACAAACCAACAGCTTTTGTCTTCATTTTAAAATAAAGGGAATGAAACCAAAAGAGGTGACCATGAGCCAGCCAGGGCCTGTGCGGGGCTGCATGGGCTCGGGCCCTGGGGACGTGGGCAGTTCAGAAGCAGAGTTCCCTGTGGCCGCTGAGGGATGATCAGGGCAGGCTGGTGTCCACCAGAAAGCTCGCCCAGTGGGAGGCTCCGAGGGGCCCGCGGGGCACATGACAAGCTGACCACAGCTGGCGACTCCCGACCTCTGACCCCCACAAGGCGGTCTGTGTGGAGCCTGTCCAGGGCAGCAGCCTGTTCTGGGCTCATGAAAGGCTCGCCCTCACTTCTGCAGCACCCGCATGCCTGCCCGCAGCACGCCCAGCCCTGTCCTCGCCCATCTGTGGGGCTCTCTGTGGCCTCCCTCACTGGGAGAGGACGGGAAGGTGACTGAGAGGTGAATGGCCAGAGCCAGTGCAGGGGGGCAGGGGCAGCTCCTGGGCATCCCTGCTCCTCAGCAGGGAGGATCCTCGTCTGAAATTCCACCCGGGGTTGTCTCAACTGCACTTGGACCTCCAGGTGGCTGGGTCCTCGTCTTCTGTGACCCGGTGACTCGGGCCCCCAGGGCTGGCTCCTGTGGCCTCCTGACCATGCGGGTCTGGTGGGCTGAGAAGCCCTGCTTCCAGGGTCGTGGGGGCCACCAGGCTGAGGCTACACTCGTGAGCCCCGGGCCTCCTCCCTACCTCTCTCCTCTCAGACGCACAAGACCTGCCTGCCTGACCCGCTAGCCCCCAAGAGCAAGGAGTCAGCCCCTTTGTCACAGAGGCCAGCAAACTGCACCGTGGGAAATGAGCTTTTTGGAATTGCCTTAAGAATTACCAAATGAACACGCTCCCACTAAAGGCAGGCGAGGAGGAAGACCACCCCGCGCCCACTGAAGGCAGGGGCTCCTCCTGTGTGTGTCCTCCTGCCAAAGCCACACTGCCACCAGGGCACACCCATACCTGCCGTGTCCTGCAGGACTCTGGATCCCGGGCCAGGCCCGCTTCTCACAGAGGAGGCAGGACGGAGGAGGGCGGCTGCTCAGCGCTAGGTGGTGTCTCAGGAGAAAGGACGCCACACTGGCCCACACCCCGAGCTGCAGGGCAGGCCACGGGGCAGAGGGACTTGGTGGGGGCAACAGGGCAGGACCACATAGAGCACCATAGTGGCCCTGGCCCGAGGGGGAGGACTCACAGGCAAGGCTGTGGCTGGACAGGGGCCGCAGGACCACTTGGAAGGAGCGTGTGGGGCTAGGCCGCTGGGCGTGCACACGCGTGTGCCAGAGGACAGAGGGCGTTGTGTGGCGGGCTCTGTCTCCTGAGGGACATCAGCCTGAGGACCCTCTTCTGGGAGCCGGGGGAAGCTGGGTACTCAGGCACAGGACAGCAGCCCACCAGGTGGCCCCAGCCTGCAGAGCTGCCCTACCTGTCTTAAACCAGCCGTCCGCGGTGAACGCACTTCTTGTCTCTTCTGGTCTGTCCCAGTATTCTCGGAACACAGAGGGTCCCCTGACCAGCAGCTCCCCTTCCTTCTCTTCAAACCCCGGGGACACCTGCAGAAGGGGGGAGGACGGGCAGGTCGGACTGGGCCACTCCCTTCGGAGAGGGTCTCCCCTGTTGTGGAGCTCCCATCCCGGCCCAGGTGCTTTTTGGAATTAGACACAGCCCTCTGTGGAGAGAGCTCCGTCCCGCCAGGGCCACCCTCCTGCCCTGCCCTTGCCCAGCCCGGGACCACCTCACTAGTCCCCAGGCAGCGTGCAGCTCTCCAGACCTGGAGACGGGACTGGCCCAGCTCAGCACTCAGGGCCCCAGCTGGACGTGAGCTGCCTGTCCACTTCTAAAGGCTGTGCCAAATCCCACCCCAGGGCACGTCTCACACTAAACTCCTGTCCAGGGCTGCTGGAGTGGCTCCGGGGTGCAGCATTCTGGAGCTGGGAGCTGGGCTTTTAAGTCAAACCGCAAACGCTATTTAAACTTGCTGATTTCCCTCTGCTGGCCTGGATGTGTTCCATTGCTGTGGACAGCCTGGCGCCCGGTGGTACACCTGAGACAGGTGCACACAAAGCTGGCCCAGAGAAGGCAGGCTGGGACTTGCAGATCTTAGCCAATAAGAACACTATTTTTATAGGTGCGAACGAGACCCAGCATCTCATAACATAAGGTCCAGGATGTCCAGGAGTCAGCACACAAAGGACCAGGGAGCACCAGCAAGTGGGACGACGGAGGCGGCACAGAGGTGGGAACTGCCTGGCAAAGACCGCACAGCACACAGGACGAGAACGCTCCACAAATGAGGGCCACACTCTGGAAATGGGTCAAACAGCCAGAACGCCTCAGCAAGGACATGAAGAGGTAAAGCGGGAGTAGGGCCCTGGGTGGCTCAGCACAGAACAGACCCCCAGGAGGGGACCGGGAACGAAGGGCGCAGTGGAGAGGGCCAGCATGACGGCGGCAGCAGCAGCGGACAGCTCCCACTACTGGAAAAATGTCAGAGGAGAGCTGGGGAGGAAAGAGAAAGAGGTCGGGTGAAATCTGGGTAAAACCCCCAAATCTGGTGAGGACATAAATCTGTGGATTCAAGAACCTTAGAGGATCCCAGGTAGGACAAGTACACGTCTGCACATACCTAATCCAATTATCAACGACTCAAACTGAAGACAAAGAAAGAATCTTGATGGCAGTCAGAAAAGGACAATGCTTTACTTAAAGAAGACCAAGGTTCAATGACTACTGACTTCTCTTCAGAAACGTGAGGCAGGAAGAAGTGGAATGACTTTTTTGTGGGTGGGTGTGGTCCTTGGATTAACCCCGGGGCACTCTACCTCTGAGCCCCACGGTCAGCTCTATGTCTTATTTTCACACAGGGTCTCAAGGTTGCCCGGCTGGTCTTGAATGGACCCTCTGGCCTCGGCCTCCCAATCACTGGGATCACACCGCCTGGTGAAGCTGTAGTTTTAAAGCTCCAAAAGAAAATAATTATGAACCCAGAATTCCAAATCCAGGAATACGGACGGAGAGGGGTAAGAGTGTGTTGCAGGCAGACCTGGTCTCCAATAACGCCAAAGACTGTAACAGGGAATGCAGCAGCAGGAGACTTGGGGCATCAGAGATAAAGCACAAGCAACAGAAACTGAACGTCTGGGTGCACCAACAGGACACACCCTTGCCTCTCGAGCTCTCTGCACTTCTGAAGCTGAAGGCACAGTCATGCCTGAAGCTGCCACTGACAAGGGTGGGGTGGTGTGGCCTGCGTGTGGCAAGGCTCTGCAGTTTTCTGGAAGCATGATGGTGTTGATTCCCAGGAGGCTGTGGGAAATGAGCAACTACACTCTTATCGCCGAAGCCCAGAAATGAAAAACCCAGGGCAAAACAGTAAACAGGATAAAGTGGCATCATCAGAAATCACACTAAACGTAAATGGTCTAAACACACCAGTTAAGTGACAGAGCTTGTCAGGCTGGACTGAAGAAAGATCTTGACCAATCACATGCTGTCTATGAGAAATTTACTTCAAATACAATCATGGTGGGATAGAATCATACATACCATGCAAACACAAAACAGGAGACTCCAAAACTCTTCACTTTAGTCATAGAACAAGCAATGAGGAAACCCAAGAAATGCAGAGCGGAGCTGTGCCAGCCACCACCTTTCCAACGTGAGCAGCGCCCTCCAACCAGGCCCAGCAGGACACACTTCCTCACTCACACCAGATCTGCCGCTAAAAGAAAGCACACTCTGGGCCACGGAAAACACCTCAACAAATTTAAACATAATGAAATCATACCATGTATGCATCCTGACTGCAATGAAATTAAACTAGAAAATCAATACTGGATAACAGAAAAATCACCGAGCATTCAGAAAAAACACAGACACTCTAAGTATCCATGGCCAAAAAAAGAAAGTCTTAAGGAAAATTTAAAAATATTTTGAATTGAATGAAAATGAAAATACACCCTATTGAAATCTGAGGGATGCAGCTAAAGCAGTGGTTGGGGGAAAACTCATAGACTCAAATGCATCTATTAGTACAGAGGAAAGGTCTCAAATCACCAGAAGAAGCTAGAAAAAGAGAAAAACAAGCCAAAATCAAATTGAAGAAGTGATCCAAGGTAAGAACAGAAATGGGTAAAATTGAAAAGAGAAGAACAATAGGAGGGGGAAAAATTCAGTGAACCCAAAAGTAGTTCTCTGGGAAAAATATCAAAGCAATGAAACATAAGCTTCCACAGAAATAAGAACAGAAGACTCAGAGCATCAGCAAGTGGAGGGAGAGGAGCGCTGGACACACACGGTCAACAACGGGGTGAACGCCGGTTCCTCAAGCCCACTCCCAGACGCAGCCAGGACACAAGGGATGACAGAACGGGCTAGGACCACACTCTACGTAACAACTCATAGCTAGACCTCATAAAAGAGAGCTCCAGGCCGAGAGGTTGCCCTGGTGGACTCTACCCAACCTGCAGAGCAGAAGAGGAGGGACGCTCCCCGCAGTGTGAGGCCAGGCGCAGAGAGCACAAGACCAGAGAACCAAGGCCCACGTCCCACGAAGGCCAAGGCCTCAGCAAAGGTCAGCACGGGGCGCCACGCTGGGCTGTGCATGCGACGGTGGCCCTGAGCACAATGGAGCTGAGAACTACCCAGGGCCAAGTCAGGGCTACGGCGCTGCAGCCCGGGTGCGGCCCAGGCAGGCGGAGGGGCTGTGGAAATGGCCCCGCATGGTTCCTGAGACCAGGACAGCCAACGGTGCATGCTGTCTGCACCACCCTCTCATCTCTACTTCAGAGCCTCCCGCTGAAGGACAACACTGTCCCCAGGGAAGTGACGGCCTTCTGTGGGACAAGGCAGGCAGCAGAAGACAGAGACCTGGTGCACAGGCCTCCACTGACATGCACACTGTGTTTCGGCTTATAACCAAAAAGTTTAAGAAGCAAAGACAAAACTAAACAGGAAAAAGTCTTACAGAAGTAGGATATAAAGAAAGAAAGTATTTCTATGCAGCCACACAATGTTGTGTCTTAAGCTAAGGGTCCATACAAATGGGTCAGACAGCTAAAAAGAATTTCAAAGAAAAATGTTACAGTAAACTAAAGTTAACTTATTATGGAAGAAAGTTGTGTTTTTTAAACCCACTGCAGCCTACGTGTGCAGTGGAGTGACTTCCACTCCTGCAAGCTCCATCCATGGTAAGTGCTTTCTTAAACCTTTTATACCACCCTTTTACTGTACCTTTTCTATATTAGACATGCCCAGATACATGACTGCCCACAGCTGTCAGCACAGTGACACGCCGTTCCAGGCCGTGACCTAGGGCAGCCCAGGTGTGCGGCAGGCTTCCCCTCCCTCCAGGATTTCACATCACAACAAAACTGCTCGATGATACCTTGTTGGAGGGACCATCATTAAGGACACATGCCCACTATAACAAAAGTGGCACACCTGGGGACACAGGCTGGTTCCACATCAGTGGGACCCCTGGTACCAACAGCCTGATGGAGAAGAGCCAACCGAGTGTCTTCCACATCCCTGTGTGATCAACAAGCCCAGCACGTCATACATAGAAGGAGACCTACTAGAAGGCCTGTAGCTGGCATCACACTAGATGAAGATCAGGAACTAGATGAGGATGTCCACTGCACTACTCTTGTTGGGCTTGGTGCTGGAGGTCAGTCATGGCAACAAGGCAGAAGAGACAACTGCGAGGCTGCACGGGGCAAGGCAACTACGACTGCACCCGGGGTCCCCCAGGTTACTCACCAACACTCCTGAGGCTGACCAGAGGACCGCCAAGTTACCAGAGGAAGACAGACTGGCTGCACAGGCACAGACAACTACTAGCAACAACTAGAAACGGAGAGACTCCCCTCTTACAAAAGATGAAAAAGAAGAAAAGCAGGAAAAAACAAAAGAAGAAACATTCATTTATGTGTAAGTCTAACAAAACACACACAGCATCTCTTAGCTAAGAGAAAACACCACAAGAGGGCAGAGCCGGCCATGTTCAGGGACTGGCACCCTCAACGTAGTCATTATTTCCTAAATGACCCTCAAAATGGTCATTATTTCCTAAATGACCCACGGAAATAATGTAATTCCAATCAAGACACTTCAAGGACATGCAGATACAAACAGATATTATACAGATAATTCCAAAATTGACAGGTGCAGTCAAAACAACTTTGAAAAAAATAAAGTTATTTTATGGAATCGCTATGATTTTAGGTCTTACTATAAAGCCACAGTAGTCAAAACAGTGTGGTGTTAGCAAAGGATCAGAAACATAGCTCAATAAAGGAAATCACAAATGCACACACAGAACCATTCAAATATGTCCTTGACTTTTGATGAAGTTGGAAAGATGGCTCAATGAAAGGGTATCTTTCAATGAATGATAGCTGGACAACCGGATAACCACACATGAAAAGATGAACTCCACTTAAACTTTTGTTATGCAAAAATCCATTCAAAATGCATCACAGATATTTCATGTTTGGGTCTGGACCATCCCCAATGCTCACATATTGGAGACTTGGTCCCCAGTGTAGACTGTCCAGAGATGGGTCTTTGGGGTGATTGGATTATGGATTAGCATCAGCATGTCAGTTGGGGGCCTGTTATCATGTTGAGGTATGTCTGTTCAATACCTAATTTGTTTAAAGTATTTATCATGAAGGGATGTTAAGTTTGTCAAATGCAATTATATATATATTAAAAAAAAAAAAAGCCCAGAATGGCCAAATGTACATGGACAGAAAGGAGACGATGTCCGTTTGGGGCCAAGGCTGAGGGGAGAGGGCGTGAGGGTGGGCTTGGGAATGACTACAGGTGGTCACGGAGCTTCTGGAAGGTCTGCGCACAACTGTGAGTCCACCGAAGCCAGTGGATTGTGCGGTGTGCGCAGGGGCAATGTTTGGTGTGTGATTGTAGCTCCATAAAGAGCTTTTCTAACAAACAGAAAAGACCCAGGGCAGTAATAGTCTATATGCTTTGGTGTTCTGCAGGGCAAGGAGGGGTACCCTGAGCTCCTGGAAGAAATGGCCAGGGCTAGGGACCCGAGAACACTCAGAGTTTCCCCCACATCCCTTTAAAGGACATGTGGGGACACGGGCCCTGTGCAGGGGGCAGCGAGGCACCAAGAAGCTAAACTCTGCAGACACCTAGCCAGCCAGGTGGCCTGTGACTCACGTCCTGATGGACGGCTCCCCACCCAGGCCAGGCCATCTCCCGCCAGCCCTTTATAGAGGGGCAAGGCCTCACACCCGTCAGAAGGGTACACGGCTCAGCAATGACCTGCCTGTGTGGGAGGCCCTGCCTGGTCCCACCTCAGCACCGTGGGCCCTGCGGGGGCAGCAGTTGGTGGTGCACCAGTAATAGATGGCAGTGATGGGGCGCAGGAGGGAAGCGGGGCTGTGAGGGGCAGGGCCACAGCAGAGCAGCCTGCTGGCCAGAGGGGCGGCCGGCCTGCACTCGGGAGAGAGGAGGAGACCAGTGTCTCTACGGGGGATGTGAGAAGGTGGCCTACGGCTGCAGCTACCACCCAGCCCTCCACATCCGCAGCAAGAGACGCTGGCTCCGCACAAAGGCCCAGGGCCAGGGTGGCAGCACAGGCAGCTGTGCGGCCACTCGTCTGCCGGTGGCCCCGTGGTCCCTGGCTGGCGCCTGGCTCTCAGTAAGTGAGCAACCTGAAAAAATAAGAAGTGAACGAGTAAAGGACGCTGCCCGGTGCCTGCAGGGCTCACAGCGGGTGTCATCTGGGGCCAGCAGAGGGGGAGGAGGGAGCCACGGGGTCAGCCCCTCCCTGCAGAGGGGAGCCCATACCCAGGTGGGAGAGGGCAGGTGCCAGTTACTCCAGCACCTGACTGCCCGCCAGAGCTGCACAACTCGGGACCCTCTGGTCACAGTGGCAGACACTCGAAGCCCTGCGACGGGGACATGTGGCCCAAGCTGCTGGCCACCAGCCACGGCCAGGGCCACCACAGCTCCAGGATGAGACCAGACGCAGGCAGCTGTGGGAACCTGGAGTGCTGCGAGCCTCCTTGCTGATCCCCATGCTGGTCCCCAGGGACCCGAGAGCCCACTCCTCTCACTTCAGACCCTGTGGTGTGCAGAAGCCATGCTCCAGAGACGAGGGACCCGATGTCCACGGCCCAAGTGCCCACGGCCCAAGCCCACTTCCTGAGTGCTCACTGCCCAAGTGTCCACTGCCTGATGTCCACTGCCGAGCACTGTTGCAATCAACAGGCACTTGCAGAGTCTGTGAGGGGCCTTGATTGGAAACCGGCGGGGACTCTGGAGCCCCAGTGCTGGGTGCTCTAGGCACCAGGAGGTCTGCATGGCGGGCAGAGCTGCAGCTCTCCACGGGGGCTGCTTCCGGGCACCAAGGCCGTGCTGCTCCTTCCTGGTGGGCTCCACACAGAGCCCCAGTAGGCTTTGACCCTCTGGGCATCAGCACCATGGTGAGTTGCTCCTCGGCGTGGCCCGGGGCCAAGTCCTGTCTCCACAGTGGCCACTGCTGGCACAGGTGGGTGGCCTGTGTGGGTCAGGTCAAGAGCAGAGGGCAGAGGTCATCAGGGCCTGGCGTCCTAGGAAGGGCCCTGGGGCCTGAGCACAAAGACCACAGCCCACGCTTGCCACAACCGCTCACAAAGGCGGAGTGACCTTTAAAGGGCGGGTGGGCTGTGCATGCCCCACAGGCCAGCGTCCCTGGGCAGGCCCCCCCATTGTCCACCGTCCTGTCTGTGGACCTGGCAGATGCAGGCCACCTGTTTGTGACTGCTGTCTGCCTGCAACGGCTCCTCAGGCCTCTCCTCCCTGCCATGTGCGCGAAGGCCGGGTGCAGTGGGCGCTGCCCATCATGGAGGAGTGAGGACAAGCCCTGACAGTACAGCTGTTCTCGGAGACTCAGCTCCCAAGCAACAGCATTCGGGTCCTAAGTCGGTGAAAACACACACTCGGCTCAAGACCAGAGGACACGCGTGTCCCGTGCACACACATGGAAGAAGCCCAAGCCCTGTACTCGACCCCAGGCCAGGCTCCCCATGACAGCACAGAAGGCAGAGGCCGGCGGCCCACCTGGGAGGCGAGGAGGACGCGCAGCCTGCACAGGCCTGGCTGAGGCAGGCAGCCGGACACACCCTGCGAGGCTTTTGCACTGAAAAGCACAGCACCCTCCTGCCGTTCCGGGGCTGTGACCACCTGCCCAGAGCCGGGAGGCAGGCTCCAGAGCCGTCCTGAAGACAGCCAGAGGCAGCCGATTCCAGCGGGACCAGCCTCGGGGAAGGGAGGCCACGGGGGAGCCCACAGGGAGGGAATTCCGGGGAAGGGAGGCCACAAGCCACACAGGTCACCAGGCAAAGCGCACAAGTCCTGTCAGTGCCGATCCAGCTCCACAGTTGAGCGGGGGAGCCCTGGCCTGGGTGTGGTGAGTGGGGCGCCACATCCAGCTGGGTAAGGCGGCTGAGTGAGGGGGCAGGCCTGCCTTCCCCTGGGACGCCGCAGAGAGGCCCTCAGCCTGGGCGGTGCCCCCCCACCCTGTCCTGCCTGAGGCACGCGCTGCACAGCCATGGAGGAACCCCAGAGCAGCTGGGGCCCGTGTCTGGAGGTGTCTCCTGCAGGCAAGGAGGAAGCAGCCGTCTGGCTGTGCTCCCCAGCCTCTGGCAGCAGTGGCCCTGACCTAGAATGTTCTAGAAGATGCTGCCTCTGGATTGTGGCCCGTCCCTCAGTGTCTGCTCAGCTCCCTCGCCATCGAGCGCCCCCTGTCCCCTCACAGGCACCTGGCAGGCCTGTCTGGGGCCGTGTGGCCTCTGGCTGTCCAGCGTCCTGGGGGCAGGGCTGTGCTCCTTTCTGCCTGCAGCAGCTCAGGGAAGGCCACAGGCAGAGCTGGCAGAGCCAGGCCTGGGAACTGCTGGGGAGCGGCTGCTATCACGGCCCAAGTCAGCTGAAATCCAATTCACGTCAGAAATGCTCCCTGCCCTTGCCCCACCCCTTTCTTTGGCCATATTTCTGCCACTTCCTGCACAATAGGTGTCCCTGAGGCCGAGCCCAGCACTGAGGACTCCTGGGAGGCCGGACGGTGCAGGCACCTACCTCACCACCACTGCCCCGCTGGGACATTCCTGAGAGACGTGCCCTGAGCCAGTGTCCAAGCCCGGCCCCTTGCTGCAGGGGGCAGGACCAGCCAAGCAAGGTGGCCTGAGACCTGGGTGTGAGCAGGTGCGGGGAGGCGGGCACCGGGGAGTCTACACACTAGACCCGGGCGTGGCCGACCCCCTGGCTCAGCACAGCCGAGGCCCAGCAGAGGGCAGTCGGGCTCCAGCCCGAGGCCTAGCCGTGGAAACAGGCGGGTTTCAGGACTGGGTAGGCCATGGAGCCAGGAGCCCCTGAGGGGCCAGGAGGGAGGACACAGGACAGAGCTCAGCCAGGCCCTCAGGCAGCCCCAGGCGGGCGGGACGCACTGCTGGCTCCAGTCTTCCTGATGCGTAGCTCACACTTGGGCCACCAGCTCTCACCCACTTGTGGGACAGTGCACCGGTGACCGTCCCCAGCAAGCTCAGAAACCAAGGTGTGGCCAACCCACCAAGGACGGGCTGCCACACTGAGGCCACGCCCACACACACCTGCCTGGCTGCCAGCCCCGGGCACTGGGACAGGAACCCTGCTCAGGCGACAGGTCAGTGTGCGCCACACCAAGCCCGTCACCAGCCTGGAATCCCACGTCCTGGGGATCCCAGCTTTCTTGACCTGAGGGCCTTGCAGTGGGTGGGTGTCTAGCTCTTAACCCTTGCTGACGTGAGATGATGGCCCTCCTGGGCTGCCCCTGCCCACTGCAGAGTGAACCGGAAACTGAGCCACCCTCAGTTGGCAGCAAGGGCACCCGAGGCTGTGGGGCTCTGGGACAGAGACAGCGCCCTCCCATTGCACCTTTCTGATGGGTCCCTTGTGTCCTGGGCTGCTTAGCAGGCCATGGTGACGCCCTTGGGCCCCAGGGAGCCTCAGGGGAGCAGGGTGTGCCTGGCCAGCTCCACTGCCCATGTCCTGGAAGTGGCCAGAGAACAGCTGTGGGTAAGGCCCACTGACACTGGCCAGTGAGCTCAGTGACACCAAGCAGTGCCTCCGTCATGAGGGCACACCCCCAAGGGAACGTCTCTGTGCGCTGAGGGCGCCAGGTGGGGTAGCCTCCAGCCCTACCTTTGTCCTGCTCTCGTCTCCCTCCGCGTGGACGGCGTGGGGGCAGCCCTCCTTCTGCAGGCCCTCCGAGACGATGCGCACTTCCACTCCCGGCAGCGGGGTCCCCACAGAACCTGCAGAGGGAGAAACAGGCAGGAGGAGG